GGAGAAGTTCAGCCTTCTAAGACTCATAGTGACTCAAAACAGCAACTTGTAAAATGTAAGACAGTACACCATTAGCTCAATGCAAATCTGAAGTTCCAAATTTACCTAGCTTGATTTGAGATGTTGCATTTCCTATTGCATGAATAACACCAACTGTTCCACAAGCATTACCAACAGTCTGCTTCGTAAAGTATACCTTCTTGCTCAATTCCTACACAAATTCAGGGATAGAAAAATATAGATCCAACATTGACTCAGCAATATTCTCAAGGTAAAAAGGAAATTCAAATAAATTAACATTTGTTCAAATTGAAGACAAATATACATGTGAATTGATGTCCATCAGAAAATTATGCAAAACTCAAAAAGTAAACAAGAAGAAGCACATGTATCTGTTTGCTTTCATACCATTAAATGGAATGATAAGAAAATGGGAGCCAGATGTGAATAAACTGGTTCTTTGAAAAATGAAACGGATAGTTTATTGAGTATTACAAAAAGTGAAGTAAGAACAAAAGCTGGATATCATAAGAAGTTGATACTTCATAGTATTACGAAATTGATACATAGAGCATCTAACATTGTATTTTCCCAGTGAAAAGCTGTGATGTGCCACAGAAAAATTAGTGCATATCCAGCAAATTAACCAAAGAAAATGAATGTATCTTGATAGGTTTTTATGTAGCAATTTATCTATAGGTACTGGTACCACAATGCAGAAGCAGTCAATGGAGATTTACTTGAAGATCTAAAATGTAGGTATTCCTTGAGTATTGAGTATTTCATTTAGTAACAGCATAAAGGATCAGTTCGTGAAGGGCTCATTAATAAGTAATATACCACCTCCACATAGTACTGTACTTGATTCAACCAGTAACAAAACCAGTGTGGCAGCGTGGATAGAGCTTAGAGCAACAAATAAACAAGTGAAAAAAATGTACAATTCAATATCTGGTTACCTAAATAACAGCTACAGTTACTTTCTTTTCCAATTTCTGGGCATCTATCACCTATAACCACAAGTGGATATGTGTAATCACAAGATGATATTGCAGTGAAAAACACACTAAATCACAAAATCTGTTTCAGGGACTGGAGGACCAGCACTGGTAACATGTACAAATATCACCAAGATAATCAACATACAATTCTAACAACAAAAATCAAAATCTCAATTCTCAAACTTTGAAAGAGGTACTAGCACAATTAGAATTAAACCTTCTCTATCCTACTTCAGGGCACGGAGAGCATCACTAAAGTAGCCAAGTCATTGTGCCGAAAACATTATGATTACAATCATAGGACAGGAAAAACAGAACAGGATGACACAACAACACCTTGCCCCCTGCAGTCGATGTGGTAGAGACACTTGATTCTTCTTTCTCCTCCTCGTCCTGGTCAACAAAAGACAACGAACCCATCAATACCCGCTTTGGCATCACACAACCAAAAGCAAAGCCAAGCACGCCATTGATCACACCACCCAATGGGGAAATGAAAGCGAGTACTTACCAGGGAGGTGAGCGGGTAGAGGAAGAGGACGGCGAGAACGGGCTGGGGCACCATGGCGAGCAGCTCGTCGTCCAGGCCGTAGACGTCGCAGAACTGCACATCCCCCTCGGGGACTCCCAGCCCCCATATGAACTGCACAAGCCCAATCCGCGGCAGCAATCAGCGAGAGCAGCACGAAACGGGAGGAAACGAAACCCTAGCAAGTGCCGGCGGCGGAGGCAGGAGCCGGGGCGGGGGCGCGCGAGCTCACCTGGTTCATGACGTCCGGGTTGGCCTCCAGCGGGATCCAGCGCTTCCCCATCTTGTCGGCGCGCGGCGGAGGAAGAAGGAGAGCGGCGGAGCCTGACGACTAGCGAAGGAACTGAGGCGGGCGGGGAAGAGAATGAGATCGGGGTGGAAATGGAAAACGCGCGGACGCAGGTGGCGTACGCTACACGCGGACACGCACACGCCCATGCGGCTAAGCGGCGCACGGGCTAGAAGTTTACCTGGGCCGGACAACAGCCCGTGGGCTGTTGTTTGTTGCCGTATAGCTTCGTTTTGACATAGAGTTAGTATACCCAATAAACTTGCGAGTTATTAAATGGCAGAGGTGAACCTTCGTATCAACCTGAGATGTCTAAATTATGGAAGGGCCTATGGGCAATCAAAACACCACCAAAAATGAAAATAATCCTACGGAGAATGGCTCATGATTGCTTGCCAACAGAAGCGCAACTAAAGTATAGACATATTCCTGCTTCTGATGCTCGTTGCTTTTGTGGAAGAGAAGAAACAGTGGAGCATGCCATTTTAATGTGCCAATATGCTTCAGAGGTATGGCGTCAAGTTAAAAAGTGTTTTGATATAAATTGCAAATACTTTAATCATATCAAAGAATGGCTTTTGATTTCTTAGATAGAGCAAAGGATGATGAAGCCACACCATTTACAAGATATATTCCTATTTGGGATGCTTGTTGCTTTTGTGGAAGAGAGAGAATAGTTGCATCATGCTAGACTATCTCCAACAACAACACCTAAATACAAGATTGAGATTCAACGCGTCAAGTTACAAAAAGTGTTTTGATATAAATTGACATCCTCATGCTTTTATACATATCAAACAATGATTTTTTGAGGTTTTAGAGAGAGAAAAGGATGATTTGGGTTGTGCCAGCATTTACAAATAGGTCTCCCATGGCACATTTGGGAGCTGAAGAAATGCTACCCATTTTGGGAATGTCCATAGAGAATATGTTGCATCCTTATTCCATTGTTGAACGAACAAAAGCTTACATAGAGATGGTATTGATGCACTCTACAAAACAATCTGCCCCCACAGGTGTGAGTCTAATTGCTTGGCCCCTAAATGGACTCCACCGCCAAATGGCTGGTTGATGCTCAATGTAGATGCAACCATCTTTAAAGATCCTTCTCGTATCGGAATAGGTGGAGTGATTCGTGATCATCTTGGGGATTTCAAAATGGCATTATGTAAGAAGATGAACAGAGTTGAAGATCCTGAGTTGGCTGAAATTTTAGCAATTCGATGTGGTATTTTGTATGCAAAAGAACAAAATCTTCAGCATATCATTGTGGCTTCTGACTATCAAAACATCATCAAAAAAATACAATCGCCACATCTAGATAGATCTCAAGTTGGAGCCATTGTGTGTGATGTAAAAAACTTAGTATGTGAAGCTTCTGTCTCTTTTATGTACATTCAGAGAAGTTGCAATGAGGCAGCTCATGTAATGGCTAGGCTAGCTGATCAGTTCTCTGGTTCAGTTTGGTCCGTTCAGAAAGCGCAAAAATTGACTGCTGTGCCCTATGCACTAGCAGTCAAATAAGCATGTTTTCTTTACTTTCATTCTTTCACCGTTTCTCAAAATAAATAAATAAATAAGACGGCGACATTTCCAACTTTCATAGCTGTCGCGGCATCCCCTACCACTCGCCCGCCACTCAGTTTCGCCACTCAGTTTCTCCAGCGGCGACCACCTCCGTTTCCTCCGCCCCGGAGATCTCGCTCTCCCCCGCGGCGCTAGGTTGCACCGCTGGAGTCGCGCCTACCGCCCGCCCCTGCCCTCATCGCTGGAGCCGGTGCCTGCATCCTCCTTGTCACCTCCTCCTGTGGCTGGGGACCGTGAGGGCGTCATGACTGTGTCATACTTCGCGCTCACATCGAGGCTCCGCGCGCCCCGGTGCCCCCAGCGGAAGAAGCTCGCGACAACCAAGCCCATGGTGCTCTTCGCTCCTCCACCTCCCAGCCTCGATCTGCCTATCGAGGCGATTATCGAGTTCCTCAACGCGCCTGACATGGTGGCCGCCTCCCACTAGAGTGTCGCGCCTGACATGTTGCAAACGTATGTTTCAAGTGTTTCAGATATCATAAAGGTATGTTGCAAAAGTAGATCGGGATGATTTTGCAAAGTGATCCACAGGCATGTTGCAAGTTTTTCAGAGGAATGTTGCAAGTGTTTGTTCAAAATGTTTCATCTGGTTTAGACGTATGTTGCAAGCCGTATGTTGCAAGCATATTTTATTTGGATGTTGCATATGGTTCACACATATGTTGTAAGAGTATGTTGAAAATGTTTCAGTTGTTTCAGTCTTATGTTGCAATAAGTGTTTTCATGTTGTAAGTGTTTTTATCTGGATGTTGCATATGTTTCACACACATGTTGCAAGTGTATGTTCCAAATGTTTCATCTGCTTTGGACGTATGTTGCATTCAAGTGTTCATGTTGCAAGTGTTTCGTGTTTTAGAGGTATGTTCAAAGAGTCATTGGGGCATGGCTCGAGCGTGTGGGAAGGGGCGCGGCGAGCCGGAGGCCGGCGGATGGGCCGTGCAGCGCGCCTAGGGTCCTGCTGACGGGGCGTGCTCGTCCTCATCCCGGCTCCTGGGTCCCGCCCATGAGAGAGAGAGAGGGGGGGGGAAGGCGGTGGGGGGAGAAGAGGCGAGGCGGGGGAGGGATGGGGTACACGTGCAGGCAGGGGGAAGGACTGTACGAGGGATCTGTGCAAGCGGGTAAGGACTATAGGGACCGTCCAATGAAATCATATCCCATCGGACCTCGGGTCCCAGCGATTTCTATTGGGTAACTCCATGTTAATGCTACAAACTAGTATTAAGCATTAGCTCGATGCTAATTTGGACAATCTACAAACTAGTATTAAGCATTAGCTCGATGCTAATTTGGACAATCTCACAGCGGGATGGCTTGTTTTGATCAGTAGTGATTAGAGAGTATGAGATTGAGATCCAACTCAGATCTCACATTTGTAGGGGAAATGGACTGCATTCAGCCCAGGAGAATCTGGTCTAATCTGTCTTTCTTAAGTCCAATTCACTTCAAAATACGTTGGTAGCAGACCAGATGCATCTTATTTTCTGAAAGTTACAGAGAAATACATGAATTTGCACATATCATGCAATCATACCAATATTATTGGGATGGGATGTTAATGTGACCTTCTATTATGAATATGAGACCATCTACAGCCCTACTTCCCTTTATATACAGGCTTTCTTTTCTCAGCAAATGCGGCTAGACCTTCAAGACGATCCTGAGTGTGCAGGACTTGCTCGTAGCATTCTTCTTCAACAGCCAACGCCGAGGGCATGTCTACCTCTGCCCCTTGATTGATGGCCTTCTTAGCCATTTTTACCGCTACCGGGCCCTGAAATATAGAACCAAGCTCATAATATTTACAATGACGGGGCAGTGATCTTGCGACAAGCATGAATCAATTGAAGCAAATTAACGAACACAGACAAAGAAAGTATCTGCTGGGAATTCTCAGATGGCAATAACTCTGCTGATTCTTCTGCCAAATAAAGCATGTAGTCTGTTCAGCGGTTTCTTACTTTCTGGTTTATCTCCCGCGCAAGTTCAAGAGCCTTTTGATAAGCCTCACCGGCAGGAACACAGTAGTTTACTACTCCTGCCATGTGAGCATACATAACCCTTCTAAGAAGTGATAAAAGGTGTCCTTGAGGAATAAGAAGTCATAACAGCAGGAAGCAAATCTGAAGATGTTAAACTGACCCATAGTTACAGCTTCCACTGCATCAAATCTGCGACCAGTGAATATTAGTTCCTTTGCTCTTGACCTTCCAACAATCCTAGGAAGGCGCTGTGTTCCTCCAGCACTGTATATTGTATCAAATGGACGTCAAGAGCTGAAAATATCATTTGAAACTGGACCTCCAAATAATTCTCAAGGTAATTTCACTGTGATATGCCACTCAAGTATAATGATCAATACAACAGCCTTTATGTTTCAAGAAAATCAGAATCAAGGCTGAAAATTTTAACAATGTTATGAAGGGTGGAATGCATGCATTAAGGCAAAAAATTGTATAGCAGGAACAGGTTTGACTTGTAGCTATAATTAAATTCACATGGCTATTGCAGTTCCAACTTCATTTGAGAGAAAACATCAACAGCATGTAAAAAAAAGAGCTTACAAAGTAAAGAACAGACTTGGTGACATACCCTGGAATAATAGCAAGGCCAGTCTCTGGCAAACTGAATTTTGCATCCTCGCCTTGCATCATTTTGACAAGAAAAAAAAGATTCATTTGGTGAAAGAAATGAGCAAAATCTGTTTCCATAAGCATAAGATTGATGCAGATTAAAATCACTACCACATATGCGAAGATCACATGACAGAGCCAATTCTAACCCGCCACCGAAAGCAACCCCTTCGACAACAGCAATTGTAGGTTAGACAGTGCCTGCTTAAACATGATACAAAAATCTACATCTATTGGAGGATTCATGCAACACCGTCAGTTAAAATGCAATTGAGAATGCATATGACATGAACATTGGTCTGGGTAACTTTATCTAAAGTTTCACTTTTCATCACCATGGATTTCCTAATTTTCTAAAAATCTGAGAGCAACTGTATAGTATAGAAGAATATATTGTTATTTCGCAACAAACCTCAAAGGATGAAAATGTAGACCTTAAGGAATTAACGAAGTCCCGAACTTCAGTAGGGCCCATCAATCTCCTTTCCTGACAACATAAAAGACATGCAGTACATCATTGCATCAGTCATTTTCTGTAAAATGGATACATGGTGTAGTTTTATAACTGATATACAAAGGTCAAATATAAACAAATGGCCAACACTTGAATAGCAAATCAAACAAAATTCTTCATAAAGAAAGACCATAAACAGTGCACAAAGAGCCATAGCCACTTAAATTACTCCAAATGTAGTACATTTATGCTAACTTTGGAGTTCATCACTGTTAAGGCGTGGACGGGTACGATGGGGAGATCGCAGGGGAGAGTGGAGTAGAAGGCTGGATTGAGAATTGGAGCGCAAGGGATAGCGAGGAAGTGGTGCAGCGGAAGGTTCGCCGGCAGCAGCGGCAGAATCGCTCGTAGCCACCGTCGAAGGTAACCCGCCCACCTTGGGAGGTTTATTCCTTCTTCGATAAGTCCTATTACAATCTCTAAGTGCCCTTTATATAATAGGTGCACTACTAACAACCCAAATATTTCCTAAATATAGATTTCCTAAATTTCCTCCCTTTCCTCTCCTAACTTAATCAGCCGAGCCCCTTAGCCATGGCTGGGCCTGGGCCGGCGCCTATACTGATGCCCTACAAAGGTGTCTATAACAATCACCAATCATCCTATTGACAGAGCATAAGTCTGACCTGTTGACTCTATTTTTTTCTCAATTTATCAATAAAAATATGAAAAAATGTTCCTAATTTTTTTATATACTTTTTTTCTGATATATGTTTCACCATTTGAATACCAAAGTCCTCTGTGCTCTAGAAACTCAACAAGCCAAAATGATCATACTGTTAGATTGATCTCCACCAGGCCAATTGGCCCCTTGGATCTGCGCCCTGATCGGGGGCGCCCAACAGCTCCATGGTTGGTGGGCCTCCATCGCACAGCGCCATAAAAAGGGAGGTGGGGGCCGGGGCACAAGGCACGAGATTCACCTGAGCCGCCAGACACCCCACCTACATCCTAACCCTAACCGATCTAGAGAGAGGGCGCTGCTAGCGACGGGAAGCACCGCCACCGGCCACCGCCGCCTCTGCACCGCCGCCACTACGACCGCGTCTTCACCGCCGGACTTCACCGCGTCACCAACAAGCACCGCCATGGCCAGCTCGTCTTCCTTGAAGGTGGCCGATGGTTTGCATCTCCGCACTCTCTCTCTCTCTCTGCTTCTCGCTTTAGCTTATGTTATAGGGTTTGTCATGTTCTAAATTCAAGTATACACCCGCTAGATCTGCAACTAGGTGATCCTAAACTTCTATCAATGGTATCAGTCGCCTGGTCTAGATGTAGATCTAGTCTTTGGGGTAGAATTCACGAAAAAAACAGAAGGAGAGGACTCGATTCGAATCGGATTGAAACCCCACCTGAGACCCCAAACCCTAACCCTAACCCTAGAAGGGAAACAGATGGAGAGGTGGAGGAATCTACCTGGTTTCTTCACCACCGTTGACACCGCCACGCGCGGGAAGGACCCGCCGCCGCCTCGTCGGCACGCGGTAAGACGGCCGAGCCACACTCGTCGCCGTGCGCGCGAGCATCGACCGAGGGCGCCACTACAAGCCCGCTCGACGGCGGCGCGCTCACCCTCGGGCGAACGCGTGCGCTGGCGAGGGGGCCTGCGGCGGCGCAATCCTTCTCTTCTCCGGCAGCCTTGGGTCGCCGTCGCTGCTGCACTCAGCACTGAGGAGAGGAGAGGGAAGTAGACGGAAATGAGCTAGGGTTTCGGGCGACAAACGACCGTGGGCGTTTTGATCCACCGAGAACGACGAACAACTGTCCGATCGCGATGAACGGCTAAGAGCCATCGGCGGAGGGATCCCCAAAGGGCGCGAGTGAAATCAGCCTAGGCCCGAGTTGCGGCTGGCGCAGGGAGCAGCCGGCGAGCGAGCCGAGGCGCGCAGCCATATGAATTATTATTTCCAAGAGGCCACCAGGCGACGACATCAACGCATAGAAAGATAGTTCGACCCAAGTTGCACAATAACTTTTTCGTTTTTGTTTTTTAATTTTCAAAAGCAAATTCTGATGATTTTTAACTAGTTTAAATCTCTGTCAAAATTTGAACCAACGGGATAATTTTTTTCAGAGAGTAGATGAATGCTTCTGAAAAGTAGATAAAGAATGTTTCTATGTTTTCGCTGCGATGTTAAATTTTATTATCTTCTAATTAAATTCGAATCAACGGGAGAATTTAATTTGAAGAGCAGTTGAATTTTATTCAGTAAATTATAATATTGTTATTTTTCTGACCAACGTTGATAATAGCAATATTATAATAATTATTCATAAGTTTTTCCATGCATTATTTCTATTTCTGTCCAACGGTGATGTAGAATTAGTGTATAAGAAAGTTGTATGTTTTAATTTTGACCAATGTTAAATTAAGACATGTAATTATTATGACATATTTTCTCACTATCTCTGACGGTGTTTTTCAGGACTCAACCCAATGGCATCCACCTTTTGAAGGGGCAACTATAGGGTATGGTGAGAGAAGTATGAACTAGTATTTGCGCTGTCTAAAAATGACCTAGCGCTTACCTCCCTGTGTCCTACTGAGCCAGTGGACCCGGTGAGAGAAGAAAATGAGTCTGATGTTGATTTCACTGCTCGGCAGCGAGATCATGCAGAAGTGCGGATGAAATATGATCTCGAACGCAAAAAATGGGACATTTCAAACCGCAAGTGCTTGATGGTGGATAAGTCCACAATTTCAGATGCTATAAGGGGGTTTATCCCAGATTGTGATACCGCCACAGAGTATCTTACGAAAGTGGAGAGTCAGTTCACTGGCTCTTCAAAGGCTTATGCCAGTACTTTAATCACGAAATTGTTCAATGAGAAATACACTGGTGGCGGTATCAGAGAGCACATACTGAAGATAAACAACACGGCTTCGAAGCTGAAGCCAATGGATTTGGGGCTCAAAGATGAGTTCCTGATTCATTTGGTTTTTGCTTCCTTGCCTAAGGAATACGAAACTTTTGTTGATAATTACAACATGCAGCCCGACAAATGGGATATAGAGAAGCTTATTGCAATGTGTTCAAGAAGATGAGAGACTGAAAAGCTCACAGGGTGACTCTGCTAACCTTGTGAAGGACAACAAGAAGAAGAACTTCAATAAGAATGTCAAACCTCAAGGGAAGACCTCTTAGAATGATCACTATCAAAAGAACAACAATGCTCAAATTGAGAAGGATTAGTGTAAATGGTGCAAGAAGCATGGACATTACCAGAGGGACTGTCCAGACTTCTTGAAGAGCCTTCTGAAGAGAGATGAGGATTTCATTACATTCATAGATGAATCCTTGTATTTAAGTTATGCAAAATCTACTTGGTGGATTGATTCAGGTGCAACTGTTCATATTGCAAATTCATTACATGAATTCCGTACGAGAAGGACCCTATAAAGAGGAGAAAGAAGAATTAAACTTGCAAATGGAGTTAAAGCTGAAGTTGAAGCCATTGGAGATCTCTCACTAGAATTAGACGATGGTTTTAGACTTCAGCTTTCAGATACTCTTTATGTACCCTCTTTGCGTACAAGCTTGATAAGTGTTTCAAGATTAGACGATGATGGTTATGATTGTCATTTTGGTAATAGCAAATGTCGGATTATGTATAATAATAAGTGTGTTGGTCTTGCCTTCCGACAAGACAAGCTTTATTTATTATCACTTTCTGAGAATGTGAATGATGTGAGCACTGAGCAAGAGAATGTCTCTTCGTCTATGAATGCAAGTAATAAGCGGAAGAGAGTTCATGATATATCATCGAAATTATGGCACTGTCGTTTAGACCATATTTCGAGGGGGAGAATAGAGCTATTGATTAAGAAATCAATTCTTCCACCTTTAGAATTTTCAGATTTAGAACAATGCATAGATTGCATAAAAGGAAAGTACGTTAAGAAAATAAACAAAGATGCCAAACGAAGCGCATGAATTTTAGAAATAGTTCACACAGACATCTGTGGTCCTTTTCCTGTGAAAAGTGTGGATGGTTATGATTCATTTATAACATTCACAGATGATTATTCTCGTTTTGGCTATATTTATCCAATTAAGGAAATATCGGAAGCGTCGGATAAATTTAAGATATTTAAGGTTGAAGTACAAAATCAGCACAACTTAAAGATTAAGGTAGTAAAGTCCGACCGTGGGGAGAGTACTATGGTCGATACACCCCATATGGCCAAGTTACTGGACCCTTTGTAAGGTTCTTACAGGAAAATGACATAGTAGCCTAGTATTCTATACCGGGCAAGCCTCAGCAGAATGGAGTAGCTGAAAGACGTAACCGTATCTTAATGGATATGGTGAGAAGCATGATAAATTACTCTACCCTATCGATAAGTTAATGGATGGAGGCGTTAAAAACCGCCATTCATATTCTTAATCGAGTGTCGAGCAAGTCGGTACCCAAAACACCGTATGAGTTGTGAACAAGAAAGAAATCCTCATTTAACTATTTACGTGTGTGGGGTTGTCCAGCTGAGGTAAAAGTTTTTAACCCAAATATAGGGAAGCTAGACTCTAAGACAGTCAGTTGCTATTTTATTGGCTATTCAGAAAAGTCAAAAGGTTATCGCTTCTATTGTCCTGACAGACAAACAAAGTTTGTAAAAACAAGACATGCTGTCTTCTTGGAGGATGATATGATCAGGGAAAACATGGTAGCGCGAGAAATTAGTTTTGAAGAGAAGCGGGAATACGTGCCCACTCCTATGGTTCAGGAGTCATTCTTTACGCTACCTGTTATTGCTGTACCAATAGTGCAAGACACTGAAGTAACAGCACCTGTTGTTAGTTCTCCTGTGGCAACAATGAATGAACATGAGAAACCTGTCCTTCAGGATCCCCTAGAACCCGTTGTCACACATGAGGGAGAGCAATAACAGCCTCATATAGAACAAACATCATCTAATGAGGCCCCTAGAATGTCTCAAAGAGTTAGGAGATCAGCCATTCCTGATGACTAAGAAGTTTATGAATGTGAAGAATTTCAAATGGAGGGTGATCTCACCTCATTTGAAGAAGACATGAGAAGTGCTCACTCATTCAAGTGGCTTGAAGCCATGGAAGATGAAATGAAATCAAGGAAAACCAACGGTGCTTGGGACTTAGAAACAATTCCTAAAGAAGCCAAGATAGTAAGTTGTAAATGGGTCTATAAAACTAAACATGACTTCAAAGAGAATATAGAAAGGTTTAATGCGCGACTTGTGGCGAAAGGTTTCACGCAAAGAGAAGGCATAGATTACAAGGAGACATTTTCTCTAGTCTCATGTAAGGATTCTTTTAGAATCATATGGCGCTTATAGCATATTACGATTTAGAATTACATCAGATGGATGTAAAGACGACGTTCCTAAACGGGGATCTGGAGGAAAATGTTTATATGGCACAACCGAAAGGTTTTGTGGTGGAAGGAAAAGAACGTATGGGATGCCGTCTGAAGAAATCCATTTACAGATTAAAACAAGCTTCAAGACAGTGGTATTTGAAGTTTGATAATACAATAAGAAAGTTTGGGTTTCAAAAAAATATAGAGGACAATTGCATTTATGCAAAGTTCAAGAATGGAAAATACATTTTCCTAGTCTTGTACGTGGATGCAATCTTGCTCGCTAGCAGTGAAGTAAATCTACTACTAGAAACAAAGTTCTTGTCCTCGAATTTTGATATGAAGGATATCGGTGAAGCTTCGTTCGTCCTAGGAATAGAGATTCACCGAGATAGAGAAAATGATGTTTTAGAATTATCACAAAAGGCATAGTTAGAAAAAGTTCTAAAGAAATACAGTATATAAAATTGTAAGTCTTCACCTGCTCACATAGTCAAGGGCGACAGATATGGGGAATTTCAATGTCCCAGAAACCAATATAAGATCGATCAAATGAAAGCGGTTCCATGTAGTTCAGCTGTCGAAAGTTTATAGTATGCTCAAGTGTGTACTCGTCCTGACTTAGCATTTGTTACCGGGTTACTTGACAGATATTATAGTAATCCAGAAATAGAACACTGAAAATTAGTAAAGAAAGTTTTGTGTTACCTGCAAGGTACGAAGGGTCTTATGCTAACGTACAGAAGATCTGATTCCCTACACATAGAGGGGTATACAGATTCTGATTATGCGGAAGATGACAGAAAGTTGACGTCAGGATACATATTCAATCTCGCAGGAGGAGCTATATCGTGGAAAAGCTCAAAGCAAACCGTCACTACATCGTCCACGATGTATGCCGAGTTTGTAACATGTTATGAGGCTACAGGGCAGGTGAATTGGCTGAATAAATTCATGCCCGGGTTGAAAGTGGTAGACGATATACATAAACCACTCAAGTTATACTGCGATAATAATCCAGCAGTATGTTATGCTCACAACAATAAGTCAAGTGATGTTGCCAAACACATTGACATAAAGTATTATGTTGTGAAAGACAAAGTCCGGAATCATATAATTAGTCTTGAGCATATAAGAACAGAAAAGATGCTCGCGGATCCGCTTACAAAAGATTTACCATCCAACGTGTTCAGATAACACTTAGCCGGTATGGGTTTAAGGGAAAACCTATGATTTCTGGACAATGATGGCCTAGTTGAGAATCTGTTTCAAAACAGAGAGGTGCATTGTAACTGTTTAATCTAATGACAACTGACCGTGACGATGAGACACGTTTTATGAACTGATCTGTGATGGAATGGGAACCAGATAAAGTAAGTAAGTTAAGTTTAACTCATAAGGTGAGATCAAGGAGGAGAACGTTATATTGATCTCCACCAATTGGCTCGGCCAATTGGACCCTTGGATCCACGCCCTGATCGGGGGCGCCCAACCGCTCCATGTTTGGTGGGCCCCCGTCGCACAACGCCATAAAAAGGGAGTTGAGGGCCAGGACACAAGACACGAGGTTCACCTGAGTCGTCAGACACCCCACCTACATCCTAACCCTAGCCGATCTAGAGAGAGGGCGCTGCCAGTGACGGGAAGCACCGCCGCCACTGCGACCGTGTCTTCACCGCCGGACTTCACCGCGTCACCGACAAGCACCGCCATGGCCAGTTCGTCTTCCTCGGGTTTGCCTCTCCGCACCCTCTCTCTCTGCTTCTCACTTTATCTTATGTTCTAGGGTTTGCCATGTTCTAAATTCAAGTATACACCCGCTAGATCTGCAACTAGGTGATCCTAAACTCCCTGCACATAATATGAGCAACTAGTCCATCAGCAATGACTTGGAAGTGTGGGGAATAATGCAATCAAGATTAATCTCACAAAAATATCCGTGTCCACTGGCGGAGCTTCATTGAGGCCAAAAGGTCATTGTTTTGAAGTTTTATACTTAATCATGCTTAAACATTGGCAACCTAGCTCTTTTAGCACTAATGGCCTCCCTCTAACATTTACGTGAAGCTTCGGCAGTGTCCGTGTCAGCATGTGTTATAGACATCCAAATTGCAATACTATGTCTAAAGAAAACAAGAAGGCGTATGTGTTATAGACCTATAGCAACTAAAGTGGCAATAAGCAATTGTTGCCACTGAAAAATACCCTGTGTCAGCACAACTCACCAACTAGGAATCCTAATGAGTAATGAGCAGAATCAAACTTCCAGAACAGAGCTAGTGCAGCTGCAGCTGGTACCGATCGGCGCCCGCGCAGAAAATCTTGGACACCGAGCTCGCCACCGTCTGTTTGCTTGCTCGTAAACGATCGTAAATTTCCAGTTAGGAACAGTGTTTTTCTCTCATACCAAACTAGCCAGCAGTAAATAATCCACGATACGTTTACAGCCGTGTCAGCCTCCACCTCCTGGATCGCGCTCCGCAGCCCCTGGAGCATCTCCTTCCCTATGGCGTTCTTGGACTCCGGCCGCTCCAGCCTCAGCTCCACGATCCCTGTAGCCAACGAATCACGGCTGGGAAACACAATCCCTACGAGCAACAAACGCAGAATTTCGTTGAGATGGGGGGGGGTTGAGATGATGGGGGTCAGAGACTGGACAGACAGACCGGTGTCCGGAGCCGAGAGCTTTTGGAGGCGGACGGGCCCGAGGATTTGGAGGGCGCGAAAGAAGACGGCGCTGTGGGAGGAGTCCGCAGAGGCGGAGGTGACCTCCGGCGCGTGGCGGCCGGAGACAGCGAGGAGGCGCCGGAGGCCGAGCATGTTGGGAGAGCTGGACTGAACCAGGTGCGGAGGAGCCGCACCCGGGTAAATACTGAGACACTGATTGGGCAGTGACGAGGTGTCGCCGTGTCAGGTAGAGTAGAGATGGGCAGAGAGGGAAGGAGACAGACGCAGCGCAACGGACACATCTTTGGATATGGTCGTATGGATAGATCACGCACGATTCACGAGTTTTCAGCTCGAATATTATACTCGCCCAGCAGCTCTTGAGCTCTCCCACCTTGAACTCTCGTGATCACGGTCGGTCGCCGTCTCGCGGATGAGAAAACGCGGTGCGGTTGTAAGGAGCTCAGAGCTGTTACCACTCACCCGAGCCCCGCGCTGGACGCCTGGAACCAAATCTCTGAGACGTCGTTGGGACCAGAGGATCGATCCACGGCCATGAGGCCGTGAGTATGAGCACGAGCACGTGCACGCCGGCGGGCGGAGGCGGAGGCGGAGCTGCAGCTGCCCTCGTTGCGGAAAACCGGAGCAGCAGCGCCGTCCTAGCAGGAACCGCTAGCTGCCTAGCTGACCACCCGGTCCAACCACCGCGCAGCCGCGGGTAGGTACAGCGTGACGCGAGCCGTGTTAGCCCATGCACCCCGGCCTGTCTAAGCTGAACAACCAGGTTAAACATTGCCCGTTGGGCCTCTTCACTCTTCTGTAGCAATTCCAGGGCCCAGTGCACAACCATTCCTTCCTTAAACACGGCCCGCTGAAGTCACTCTTTGTAGCAGACTCTCAGGACGATTATCATCATTCTTTCTGATACTACTTTCCTGTGTACACAGGCTTCCTCTTCTCGGCAAATGCAGCCAGGGCCTCAAGGCGATCCTGCGTGTGCAGCAGCTGCTCGTAGCACTCCCCTTCGATAGCCAGCGCCGAGGTCATGTCCGCGACCTCTGTCCCCTCATTGATAGCCTTCTTTGCCATCCTTATCCCCAAGGGACCCTGGAAGAACGAGAACCAAGTTCAGAGCGGGTTAAGGGGCCAGGCCACTGGACCAGTGATCTCAATGAAATGAACCCAATTTCCGATGAATTCGTTCACGCAGGTTGACTGGTCCTGGCAGAAAAATAGAGAGGACGTACCCAGTTCAAAGAGCTCTCGTTCGGTGCGGGTCTGGGGAAAGATGTCAGTGGCAAGCCTTACTCTCGCCTGTGCAATACGAGGAGACCGCGACTCAAACCCGGAACCTTCCGGTCACAAGCGGTAAGACTCTACCGCTTGCACTAGGCCCCGCAAGTAGTTCTATTATTTCACTTATTATTAATTTCCAGTTGCTCAAAAAAACACTTATTATTAATTTCCGATGAATTCGTTCACGCAAGTTGACTGGTCCTGGCAGAAACTTGTTATTATTTGCATTTGTGTTTTTTTGTTGTTGCAAATATATACTGTGGCATGTAATCTTTAGATGGGAAGTGTGAAGTTGTGAACTCAAGAAATTCCTGTCTTTGTGTTTTTTGTTGTTGCAAATATATACTGTGGATTTTAGATGGGAAGCTTGAACTCATGAAGAAATTCCTGTCTTTAAAAGATCAGATTAAGAATGATCCTTACCTTCTGAGTTATCTCACAGGCAACGTCAAGAGCCTTCTGGTAAGCCTCTCCTGCTGGAACACAATAGTTTGCTAGTCCTGAAACCCAAACACCAAGTTAAGAGTTGTTGCAATAAGTAATAAGTAGGTACAAATAGGTAACAACTAACAAGGTTAGCATTACCCATCATTACAGCTTCAGCTGCACCACATCTGCGGCCAGTGAATATCAGCTCCTTTGCTCTGGACCTCCCGACGATCCTAGGAAGGCGTTGTGTACCTCCAGCTCTGTATAGTACAGCAAACGGAAGTTATTTCACCGAAGCAGATTACTCTGGTAGTTTTGGTTAGGTTCTGTGCACTTTTTGAAAGGACCTAGGATGCCGCCTAGAGGGGGGGTGAATAGACGTTTCTGAAAATTAACACCTTTAAAAGCGGAAACAATTAGAAGGAGGAGTTTCCAAAATGGAAACTCCAAATCAAGAGTACTACCACTCCTCACAAGTTAGCCACAAAGTAAACAAGGTATAAAGAATATATCTAGAAGCTACAACCCTGCAACACCAAGTTAGAACAGAGAATAAATATTTTCAGTGCAGACAAGAAATACCGGACGTGTCCGGTATACACGATTTCTGCAGATCTGCCCCGAACTTGCTCCTTTCGATTTCTATCTTCAAACCAAACTGCGGGCACCTAGTGGAGATGACAATATATACAGAGAGAACCTGCGAACAGCTAAACAACACAAATATCAAATGAAATGCGAATTTAGACACGATATTTGTTTTTCGAAGTTCGGACTCGTTCGAGTCCTACTCTCTCTCCGTTGAGGGGCTGCAGGCGACCCAACAAGGTCAGCCCTAGAGGGTACCACGAAGGTCACTCTAGCCGGAGTCTTTTCCAACTCCTTTTCCTCCTTCCACTAATTTGATTCCGAGGCGGAATCGACCGTTCTAAACTTTCCGAAGCAACCACAATCTCTAGGTTGCTCTCCCATGACGCCTAGCCGTCTAGGACCGAAGCAGTCCAAGAGTAACAAATGCGAATCACGAGATTGACAATATGCACAAGTGCTCAAGTGGTGGCTTGCTCTCTTTTCAAATTCTCTCTTAACCCACAAATTGATTTTGTAATTTGGATCACACACTCACTAAGAGAGGGTTTAGGAGAGTTGGCAAGGCTAAAAAACGTGTGTCTATCTCGTGAGAATCAGCAGACCTCCAAAGGTGGAGGCTTGGGGGTATTATAGCCCCTTGAAAAAAACTAGCCGCTTTTATAGCCGTTGCAATACCGGACACGTCGGTATGCATACCGGACACGTCCGGTATGACTCGAGATCGCGCGCTAACGGTAACTAAGTTCTGATGATGTTGTGAGGCATCGGAACTCCCGAAGAATGCGGGACTTCCGACCGCCGGAACTCCTGACTCAAGTCGGAACCCCTGACCCTCAGTAATTTTGAAAAACATGTAACTGAGTTAAAGTTAGTGAGGTGTCGGAACTCCCGACATATGTCGGAACTCCGAAACCGTCGGAACTCCCGACAAACGCCGGAACTTCCGACCCTCACGGCTTTTTGAAAACTAGCCGTTGGCTTCTGGTCATCCATACCGGACACGTCCGGTATTAATACCGGACACGTCCGGTATGACCAGGACAGAGAACCCTCCAAGTCAGTTGAAGTGCGACACGTCGGAACTCCCGACCCATGCCGGGACTCCCGACCGTCGGAACTCCCGACCACGCCGGAACTCCCGACTAACCAACCCGAGAACAACAATTTACAATTTCTTTGGACAAATCTGGGACACGTCCGGTATGAATACCGGACACGTCCGGTATTGCCAGACCAGCAACAAATCAGTTAGCTCTTTTGTCTCTCAAATACTCAAAAACTCACATGGGTTGGCATGAGCACTTATGAAACATTATCTATCAACATGATGCATCCCTCTTAATAGTACGGCATACCTATTAAACTCAAGACAAACGGAAATATGAATTTGTACCACTTGAGTTGTTCTTTTGAATTGATGCCGTCCCTTCCAATCTTCATCAAGTAAGGGTGCTAACATGTTGATGTTGATCTTTTCACTTGAGCATAGCCATCTTGAGCATGTGACTTGATTCCATTCATCAAGTTTGAATAATTCCAAATGTATCAAGTCACTTCCATCAAATACTTCATTATAGATTTGATCCTTCACATCAATATGACCATCTTAGCTTGACTAGTACCTCAACTAAATGCAAGTACTTTCTTCTTCACCCTAGCTAGGTTCTTCGGCCGCCAAGCCGTCGCTTGCCCTTCACCCTTGCTTAGTACCTCGAAGCATTTCCTTGCTATCTTCACCATCTCAAGCCATCAAGTCACATCTTGTGTTGAATCATCCATTCATATGTATTGTTATCTTTTTCATTTTAATTTAGCAAGCTTCAAATATGAGACCATTCCATATGCAATCCCTCATGTCTCATTAACTAATAATCATGAGCTTGCTTTCATATAGTCAATGGAAATCCCACAAAAAATAAGCCTTCACATGAATTCCATTTGCATTGTTGTCTTGTGCTCGAACTAGATTGTTTATACAACAACACATCATTTTGGCTTTCATTAAGTACCTGTGAGATAACCTATTACCTGTTCACACTTAGCAACGGGTTAGTCCTTTAATCACGTTGTCATTCAATCAACCAAAACCCACTAAAGGGCTAGATGCACTTTCAATCTCCCCCTTTTGGTGATTGATGACAACTTGATTAAAGCTTACTAAAATGATATAAACATTTAAACTTTTGGGTTCAATGATTTATGAGAGGCTCCCCTTAATATGTGCTTATGATTAGAATTCACAAAATGACCTCAAATGTCAATTGCACATACTAAAACAAATAGGAGACTCCCCTAAATCATTTCATCCGTATAGGGTGCATGTGTGTGTGACAAAGAGAAACCGTGATGCCTATGACAAGATATATCACACAAGACTAAACAAAAGCATCACACCATACAAAGTCACTCTAAAACATGCATGGTCCTTATGAAAGTAAATACATCATATATATCACACACATAGCACTCATCTCAAAGATTTCTCAAATCATATCTCTCCCCTTGTCATAGCTAGACACAAGGTTGCACTCCTGAAGCTTTAAACATATCTCTTCCCTTAAGCTTTCATCTCTCTCCTCCTTAAGCTTTAATCATATCTCTCCCCTTTGTCATCTATCGCCACAAAGGGTCACACAAAGCACAAAGGGTGCTTAAGGTTCAAACTTTGTACAAATCTCTCCCTCTTTGTATTAACCTCTCCCCTTTGTCATCTTAAAGAGGTTGTACTTGTCACTTGTTTGCAATTCAAAATAGATCAAGTACATGGGTTTACTAGCTCATGAACAAACTCATACACTAACCACTAGATCATATAATCATTCAGGCAATAGTGGTAGTCTATGAATCTAAAATTTTCATTTGTAGTGCATGATCCTATAAGCATGTACTATATGCACTAACCGCATACTAGTAAGGGATGAAAAATGATCATGCACAATACAATGATACCTTTGCTATGTTGGAGAGGAAGATAGTCATATAGATTTCAATTCATTTCTCCAGTAGCACCATGAAGTCCAATTATAAGCTTGGTGAAGACCAATAGATACCAATTCTTTGAATTCCTATTCTTCACCCATATGAATTGAGAATCACTAATGATCAAGTGCACTTTTCTTGTTGTGGTTGGCTTGCTTCTTCTTTGATCATTGCTTGCTTGAGAGAACTGAAAGATGCACCACTTGTAATACCACTTGAAATTTCATGATACCACTTGAAATTTTATGACTTGTTCTCTTTTGGGTGTTGCTTGCTTTTTAGACCAATCTCTTGATTTTCTTCAACCAAGTACCTCAAATGTCCCTTTTAGATTACCACTTAGATTTTAGCCATCCAAGCCTAGAGCGAAGTGACCTCTCTCCAAAGAACCATCCTTGATACTCACTTGAAATAACTTGAAAGAAAATGTTTGATTGATCCATATTGTTGGACTTAATTTGATGAATAACTTTAAATCATTCTTTAAGTCCTTTTCTTTCTACTTGTTTAAGTCCTTTTCTTTCTATCAAAAGATCTCCAATTATCACTAGAATTTAAACTCCATCTTCATCTTGATCTTGGTCTTGATCTCTAGCTTGAGTACCAAATGTGTACTAGATACACTCTTCAAATAAATTGTCTTGTACTCATCATTTGTCATGCTTCTATCTCAAACTAAAACCAAAACATAGGTACCTCAATCACTTATAGATATGATTCTAATTTGCGGACCTTTGAATCTAAGTGACTTTTGATCAATCCGATAATTGTCACTTTCCTGGCAGATTCTGTACTCTTCAAAGAATAAATCATATCTCCCAAAGTACATATCCAAAAACCACGAAATTTGGTGAAGATGTGACACACTAAGTCTTCTAGTAGCTGTAAAAATTTGAGCTTCTTTGGACTTCTATATTGCTACCAGATTTCATATCTTTCCACACAGGTACATGCTGAAAACTGCTGCACTATAGCTGACAAGATCTACTCCAAATCCGAAGTATCACTTATCCAAATCTCATGAAATTTGCACAGCAACTAATACCATAAGTGTAGAGCATGCAGACCAAATTTCAAGCCAATACAAATAGATTTGATTACTCAAACATGTCTATGATCACTGCTAGCTTAGATTTTCAATATTGGACAGATTTCAATAATTGAGCCATTTTTCTCCAAATTGAACCAAACTTGAAATCAATTTGTTTGAATACTCTCACAAGACATATGTCCATTCAAACCACTTACTAGAAGAAATCTTATGAACATATCCAATCAAACCAACTTCAAACTTGATTACTTAAGCATTTAATCCATTCAAACATCTCATAGCAAGCAACATATGCATATGTATCCAATTCAATTAACTCATATGCACCCAAATAAACTTTGATCAACAAGAGATATACCTTGATAGCTTATGATCATCTTTGCAAGCTTCAACTCCACTTATTTGCATGCCTTCAAATATATCAATAAATTCCTACAACTTGAATATGACACTTGTATGTTGATAGCATATGGACTTCACTCAATTTTGACTTGGCATTGGGATAGAATTGCACTAGGCTTCAATACTTGACTCAACATAAGATGAACAATAATAATTCCATTGAATCAAGTCTCCAATGCCATGGTACCTACAAACGATCATCCACTTTTTCGATGGTACCCAAACTAGTTTGGGTCC